AGACCAGAAGAAGTGAGTTGAACAGCTTAAGGTTTCAGAGCACTAAATTAAAATACGTGAATTACTGAAAGAAGGGTTGCTGTTAGCATTTAAAGCACATGGTGTGGGCATATTTGTGAGCCTCCTTGGAAGGAAAGTTGAAAATAAATCCCTACAGTTTCCAGTTTAAGTGAAGACACCCCAGGTAGAGATGGAGAAGGCAAGCACAGCCAATTCCTCTTCCTCGTAAGGAGCCCCTAGCCCTACGGAGGCGGCACCTCAGCGGGGCCCCGAATCCAGGATCTTCCATCCAACGCCACAGCCTCTCGTGCGCCGCGCCCCATGGGCAGAACCCGCGGAGCAGCCCTGTGCCGACGGCCGGCGGCGGGTGGTGATCTCAGGCGGCTCCCGGCACCACCATGGACAGCTCACTTGGGCCGGCCCGGCTGCGGTCTCCCTCGCTGCCTGCCTGCTCGCCTGCCTCCGCCCGACCCGCGATCGCACTTCACCACCCCGGGCCCTGGAGCCCGTCCAGGCTCCGCCGCCTGCGCCGCCGCGGGATGCCAGCCGCGAGCACCGCGGGGCTATATATAGTAGGACAGACTTTATGAATTAATAGCTGACTCTTTGCCCTCAAATTTGAAAATTATTCCTTTCGGTGTCTACTGGATTCTAGGAACCAGACGGAAAATTTGGCAAAACTCTGTTCAGTTCCACGCAGCATTTTTTTTTTTTTTTTTTTTTTTTTTAATGCGTTAAATTAAATGCATATTGTCTAAATAAACGGCTCGTTGTGTCAATATCTGAGCTGTGGACCTCCGGTTGCCTCTGGGGTGGGAGAGGCAGTACTGCTCAGATACTCTATCCTTGTTTAATAAAGAGGATTACTGTGCACGAATGGGTTGCCACGACACGCCTGGGACTTGTTGATGGGGAGAAAACGGTTTTCTCTTTCTCGAAGCAATGTCCTCACCCAGACAGTTGCAGTGCCCCAGCCACCAGCTAAGGCGTTAGTCACACCTGACAGCCCAGCAGAGTTCGTGGGAGCTGCAGATAGCAGGGCGGTACGATAACAGGTTGAGAGGGAGAATGAGTGTGTGCTAGACAGACCACCTAAATCTGCAATCTGAGCTGTGTAGCAGGCTCACCCTCGAGACCACCCTGCGAGCTTTGAAAAAAATGCCGTGACTTTGCACTATGCTCTTCGATAGCTACTTTCACTGGCTTTGAACCTTGCTAGATTGAGGCTGCGTAAATCACAGGGAATTTCTGGTCCTCGCAGGACGAGGCCAGCAGTCACTGCTCTGACTCTCCCTTCCCTTCCCCTCCAGACTCTCAGGCAGTCAGTAGGGCTGTGTTTTGCTGAACACCATTTTTTCCACCCCGGGAAGACTAGGGAGGTTAAATTCCCTGTCTGAACTGAAGCCCTGGACGAGTGCAACTGAGGTTAAAGAAATCCGGGAGGGGAAATGATGAAAATGCTTTATTGCGAGTAAAACAAGAGAAGGAGGAGAGGCAGAACTCCACAAAGGTGAGGGATGGGGAGTTTGCAGAGTTGACAACTCAGCCTGCCTTTGAGCACCGGACGGGGGGAGTAAGGGGGGGGTCATTTACTTCCTTTTGTCTCTCTCGGGCTGTAATTGCGACTCCTCCCCAGTTACCTGAACCTGTCCCACTTGTCTGCTTTGGTTTCAGGGGAAGTTTCGATCCTGAGTGGCATTTGGGGAGCCCGCCCACCCACCCACAGCCCCTGGCCCTAATCTCCCCTCAGGAACTACGTATCAAACCTGAAGCAGAGACTTACCGTCCGAGCCAACCTAGCAGGTCACCTTCATCATAGGCAAGCTGATTTATGCCTGTTTATACGTATGGAAAAAGGAGACAGAAGCCAAGCACGGCATCCCTCCAAAATCTCATTGTCTCATAGGGGTGCTGGATGCGCGGATTGACGCTTCGGCACAGATGTGGGGATGGAAATAGCTCCGCCTAGCACCATTCCCGACCCCACACCTGTGACAAAGGATCTTTCCACTGGCCCTTCCTCTTCTCCGGCCTCATCCTCTCTTCCCCGGCACATCCATATGGGGGTGAAGGGAACAGCACCGGGGCACAGTTCGGCAAGTACCTGAGCCCCATTTCTTCTCGGCGCCCGGATACGGAATCAGGCCTTTTTGGAGCGGAGAAAATGGTGTTAGACAAAAGAAGAGGGGGAGTTCTGTCAAGTCCTGCACCAGAGGAGGTTCAGGCTTGCGGTGAGGCTAGGTACTGGGAGGAGTGTGCTCACGGGTTAGGCATTTGTGTAGGTGGCAGGAGAAAAGTGCAGAGCAAATTTTGTGGATGACAAACGAGGTTCGGCGGGGGGGGAGGGAGGGAGGACATGGGATCATGATGTGATAGTAAGCCGTCTAAAAGGGCTTGGCACTGTTTAGTTCCTGACATATTAGCAAAACCATAGATTATTCTTTTTTTTTTCCAAGCCCACTGAGGCAAGATGAGGCAAACTCAGCCATAGGAAGGTGGTTAGTGATGTCACAAGTTCAGTCTTTTCAATAAAAGCAATAGAGAAGGGTCTCCCTTGCTATATATATTAGGAGAAGCTTCTGTTCTTCATAATAAAAAGAGCAGCAAGGGAGTAAGGCACCTGTATCTGCTTTTAAAACTCTTTATTAAGCTCTAATCTGTTGCAGGCAGATTAAAAAGTCTGCAGATCTGCATATATTTTCAAAGGTATTTTTTTTCTTTTTCTTTTTTTTCTTTTCTTTTTTTTTTTTTTTCTTTTTTTCTTTTTTTCTTTTTTTCCTTAGGATAGAACATAACTTTGGAAGCAGTTGCTGAGAAGATTAACCACTGTTGGCCAAGGTGATCTCTGAGAGGCACAGAGGGCTGTAACTCAAGGAAAAGGTGAAGTAGTAAATTTTGAAGAAACTTCAGTGTTCCAGTTTCATAAAGACTATTTGTTTTTCCTGAATCTGTAAGGGTAGCTATTTTTTTTTTCTTTTTCTTTTTCCTTTTTAATTTCTGGGGGAAAGGGAATTCTAAAAATATCAGATGGACATTTTACTACTAATGCAATAGACCTATGAGAACGTGTGTGTGTGTG